CTTTTTTCTCCCACCACCCCTTAATTTTTGTTTTTGCATCACTTTCAATTTCTCCATTCTTTCATCATCACTACTAACAAGTCCCACTTTCTATAATAAACCTTTTACTTTCTCACGTTTTCATTTTACTACTAGTATCCACTATAGTAGTCAAAACTCAAAAGGGACTCTTGATATTAAGTAGTTCACACTCCACACGAACACGAACTTGAGACACATGTTAAGGCGTGAATGGATTACATACTTACGTTTAGAACGAATTTAGAGATATTTTGAGAAGAATAAAGGGGGTGAGATTTTAGATTCTAGATTGAAACTTTTTGTGCATGATGTTTCTATTAACCTTCGTTGTGAGCAACATTAGATAGTGAATTTGAGATTGTTTCGCCACTTGTGGAAAAAATGAATAGAATAAAAAACCATGAATGAATGGAAATAGAATGGACCCACTATTATTGGACAAATTTTACTCGGTTTCATGAAAGTGAGGTTACAATATAATGATCGAGTTTTGACTTGGCCACTTTGCCGTTCATATATTATTAATTAATTTCTTAATCTCGAAAATTACATGTGGGTCTCACAAATTCAATCATAGTGTATATTGCTCAAGGTTTTTATAGTAGAAAAATTATATACATTATAAGGGTCTGTTCTCTTATATTGAAATTCAGTTCAATTCATTTCAGCTCAGCTCAGCTCAGTTCAGTTCAATTTAGCTCCTAATCTCCTTCTCTTATAAAACATTCAGTTCAGTTCAGTTCAGTTCAACTCAATTCAATTCAGTTCAGCTCAGTTCAGTTCAGTTCAGTTCAGCTCAACTCAGCTCAGTTCAGTTCAGTTCAGCTGAGTTCAATCAATAAGTACAAACCCTAACATAATCAAATAAACTACTCTGTATTTCATAATTTTGTATGTCCTAGAATGAAGTACTTGCATAACTCTTACTTAGGTACCGAGATTATTAGTTGAACATATTTTTTAATTTTTCTTTTCTTTAAATAAAATAATAATAAAATAAAATAGAATAAAAAAAAAAACTATGTTTAAAAAAACTATGTTTAAAAAAACGGTGGCCAATTGGTTAGAAATAGGAATTATGCTTCATACAAATGTGTTTTTTGATGATGTACCATAAATTATTTGGTCGAATATGCAAAATTGACATCACAAGACTTATCTAGGTACATAATAAGGACGTTGAAAACTTTATTTGATTGAAGTAAAAATTCATACATTAGGTTATTGCCAATCAAACAAAATTTCAATTTTCAACCACTTACATCAAACTTTACCCATAGATCACTCACTCCATCGCATTTATCTACACATACCTAGAATTTAATTCATATGTTGGAAAATTTAAAAATTCATTAAATAGGTTCTGAAACCGGGTTTTGAAATTGATTAAGTTACATGCATGATTTAACAATCCGTTTGTTTGTAGAATATATTTGTCCTTTCTTTGAAGAATACTCCCCATATTTTATTAAATGTCTAATTGACATTTTTTGCTCTATTTACTTTATCTATTTTTAACCAATGTTTGTAAATTATACATAAAGAAAAAAAAATAGTAATATAGTTTATAGGTACTTTTTGGAATCGCAATAAATAGATTATTAATATCCAATTGTTATAATTTATACTTTTTGATAATTAAAAATATTATTGATCAAAATTCTACATTAGCATATCTGCCAAGCTTCAATGGAACACTTAGAAAAAAAAAAAGCAGAGGGAGTAGTAAAAATCAAGATATTATACTCACTCCGTGTTTGAATTAAATAAAACATTTTATCTTTAACAAAGTTTTATGAAGATTGGTTGAATTTATTAAAATAATAGATAGTGGAGTATAAGCTTTGGAGAGAAAATAGAGTCAAGGGTTTTGTAAGGACCATTAATATGAGTAGAATATTATTAAAAATAGAGAGAATATTATGTAGTATTTAAAAAATAAAGAGGTTATTAAAAAAAGAAAACATTTTTATTTATTAAAGCACAACTAGAAAAGGAAAACATTTTATTTCAGAGGGATAGTATATGTGTAATATACTAATATGTGCTCATTTCATTTCAAAATTTTACTTTTTCAATGTCATTTTTTCTCCATTTTAAGGGTCTGTTCTGATTAACTGAACTTATTGGAGCTGAACTCAACTGAACTGAATTGAATATTTTATAAAAGAAGGAAATTAAGAACTGAACTAAACTTATTAGAGCTGAACTAACTAAAAATAAGCTAAAGAAAACAGGCCCTTGGGCCTATACTCATGGACTGAACTCAGAACTGAACTGAAATAGACTTAAATGAATATTTTATAAGAGAAGAAAATTAGGAACTGAACTGAAAATAAACGTACGAGAACAAGCCCTAAGTTCATTTTAATTGTCAAATTGAGCTCCATTTTATCCATCTTTAAATTTAATGGTGAACGGCATGAACCCCATTGCATTAATAACATACGGGTGAAATAGGTTTGGTCTCCAACATAATCCATTGGCTTTGGTGCAACCTATTGAAGGCATTAATGGCACTTAAAGGCCTAACTTAATGCTCCTTTGATTTAGGGGTAGGCATGGTGCATAAATGCATAAACATGCGGGTGGGAAGAACTATGTTGTATCAAAGCATATATGAATATGGACGTGAATTTGTACTGTAGAGCCACACTAGCCGCAAACTATCTACATAGCCCAGGGACGTGTTGCAATTGAAATAATTATCATAAATCGAGAATCTAACCCCAATAATACTCTCTTTATCTCAAAAGTTATAGTGGAAGTACTGGAGATGAGGCCTCCGCGTGATGCATTGAGCACTCTAACTAGAGTATACATTTTAGTGAAAAAAAGCACGAGCACAAATGTGTGAAAGAACTTCTTTCAAAGAACAGTAGGAAGTTGAAAAGTATTTAAATTAAAGGAGCTACCTCCCCTTAAACTAAATTATGTTATCCATTGATATCAAGGGCTTTTTTTTTCTTTGCGTGTGCTTAGAAAGCTAGAAGGACGAGTAATAGAATTTATCCCATAAAGCTAGAAGGACGAGTAATAGAATTTAACCCATGTCCCCAAGATGCCTTGGAACGAGAGCGATGATCTAACCAACAAGTTTTACTACAAATATATTCAAATAAAAGTATATGATTAGTAAAAATTTGAAGGAAAAAAATAGGTAAAACAATATATAATTAAGAACAAATAATTTTAGGTTTTAATGACTAACAAGTAACAGCACTACTCTGATAGTCTCATATAATGTTGTCACTTGTCCGTTGTCTGCTTCTCTCCTCATTAAACCTTGACACATTCTTTCTATTAGCATCATCCCTTGACAAAAATGCTTTTATTAAACACCCCTTCTATTTTCTAAGCTCCTATTAGCATCACCCCTTAACAAAAAAGCTACTATAAATAATCAGCTAATTCAACGTACAAAAATTGACACTAACCGTTCCAACTATGTTACTCAAGCGCGCATGAAAAAACCTGGACGGCGGGCGTGCCCACATAGGCACATAACATATATGCTAATGCTCTCCACCCCAAAAGTTGAAATTTTTGGGCAAAAAAAAAACGCTACCTATGCAAAACTACTTTAAGCACAAAACTTACAAAAAAAAAAAAAAAAGTCGACATTTTAGTATTTTACGGCTAGCCTAAATTCAATTGGTAACTTGACACTTTCCTTTGGACGATATCTTTAAGAAAGAAAAGAATAATTATATCTGAAAGGGTATTTGTATTTGTAAGAAAAACAAATCATAAAAAAAAGCACCCACCATTTTCAACTTAGCAACATCCTCCACTCAGAAAAAGTCATAAATCAACACATTCACAGTCAAGATTCCTTGCCCATCCCTCCACTCTTTCTTTGACAGCTACCCCCCTTTTTGCCTCTTTAATCTTCAACCCAAATTCTTTTTCTAATAATATTACTTCCGTTTCTTTTTAATTGACACGTATTATATTTTATAAGTACAAATTCTTAAATGGACCTAGTTCACACTAATTTATTGTGAACCACTAACATTAGAGAAAATATGGTTATTTTATTAATAAAAAAAAAGGTCACTATAATTTTAAAAAAGTCATTATGTTGAAATAAAAATCATTTTGGTAATATATAGGCCTAAGTGGTTATTTTGTAATGAAATATTTTATATACTGATCAATATGAATAATAAAGGTCACTATGCTAAAATTAGGGTAATAGCGTCGTATTTCAAGTTCACAATATTATTAAATGTTGTAGTAGTTTTAATCAAGGTTACTATGTTAAAAATAAAGTTAATATGTTAAAAATAATAGTCACTATATTCAATATAATGTCAGTTGCGTGTGTATTCAATATAAGGTTAATATGTGTATAGACCTTGGGTCCACAATAATATTATTGTGGACCAGGTCCACGCAAGTGTTTTGTTTTATAAGAAGTTTAATTAATTGACACGTTTTTTTTTTTGGGTAAATTTTTTATAATGTATTTACAAGCTACCCACTTGCTTTTTCATTCTCTAAATCAAACGCGTCAACTAAATAGAAATGGAGGAAGTATTTAGTAATTAAATTTCCAATTTTTCAAAAAGAAAACAAAAAAAATTAAATTAGTTTTACTGCAACACTGTAAAAATAAAATCTTAGATAGATCTTTAATGGACAATTTAGATAGATCTTTAATGGACAATTCAATACAGACAGAGCAGTAAATTTTACCATGAGCTGTCATTGTACTTGATGAATTCAAATCTAAAGTGAATTCTTTTTCCCTAAATTGTACAGTACAACCAACGATTTTAGTAACTCTAAATTTCCATTTTCAACCCTTTTTTTATTTTTTTCAATTGCAATCTTCTTCAAAATTCTTACTATGATAGTATGATCATTCAACATTTTACTAGTCGTAAAGTAATACGAACGAAAAGATATTCAGGTTGTCATCGAAACAAAAACAATTAACTTAAATCCAAAAATTAAAAACACAACCATAAAAATGATACAATTGAAATAAATTACCCTCAAAATAGGCGAACTTTTTTTTTTTTCATCTCTCACTTTGTTACAATTGGTAGATTAGGCCCATTACATGATAGAGATAGAAATATTTATAATCAAGTACTAGAAAGTAATAATTAAAAACACTATTTATATATTTTTATATATACTACATAGTATTTTAAAAAATAAAAAATAAAAAAACAAAACTAAGAAGTGGAATGAGAACCTGAGGAGACCCTCGGAGAAGAAACAGGGAAAAGAGGCAATAAACGGGGCTCCGAATCACGAGGAGTGGAAACGGGCGAAGGATGAAGGAAAAACCCTTTTTCAGCAATGGCTTTGTCTTCAGCAACTTTATCGACAACTACGTTCGGAGATGGCGAGGCGGACGAAGAAATTGGCGATCGATTGAAGGGGTCATGGATAAGGGGAGTTACAGGGGATAAAACGAGAGACGGGAAATCGAGTAAAGAAGGAGAGAGAATCTCGGCATTATTATTTCGATTTGGAGAGAAGATTGGGTTACAGAGACGGAGAGACTTGAGAGTGGTGCTACGACGTTCGTAGAGTTTGGATGGTTTGGATTTGGTGGGGGTTTTGATGGGTGGGATGTTGTTGTTGTTGTGTTTTGATGGGGTTGGTTCGGAGGATCCGGTTAGCATTTGGACGACTTGTTTGAAGGAAGAAGTGTCGGCTTGGACGAAGGTGGTTGGGTAAGGGTTGGTTTCGGATCGAGTGAGGGGGAATTGTTGTTTTGGAGTTTTCGCTGCGATTGCGGTGTTGCTGCTTGTGGAGGATGAGGAGGGGGAAGGGAGGAGTGTGTGAGTTTGGTTTTCCATTGTTGGAGGAGAGAGAGTTGATTGTGGGAAGGAAATGAAAGAGGAAAGAGGAGAGTTTAATTTGAGTTGAATTTGTGTGTTTTTTATTTTATTTTTATTTTATGATGAAATTAAATGGATTAGGGAAATGGTGAGTTGGGTGAGAAAAGTGTGGGGAGGTGAGTTTTGAAGAGTAAGTTTGGTTGGAAGACAGAGAGAGAGAGTACATTATCAGTTTATAAATATTTTCGTTATAAGCGAGTGGGTTTCACTCACTTATAATGTAGGTTGACCAACACGTAAACGGTTTGAATCAATGAAAGGTTTTTTTTTTTTTTTTTTTTTTTTTTTTTTTTTTTTTTTTTTCAAGTGAAGATATTGACGTCGAGATATACACTCTTTATATTACGGAGTGTAAGCTTGTTCTCATACGATTATTTTCAGTTCAGTTCATTTCAGCTCTAATAAGTTAAATTCAGTTCAATTCAGCTCCTAATTTTCTTCTCTTATATATAAAATATTCAGTTCAATTCAGCTCATTTCAGTCAATAAGAACAGGCTCTATGACCGTCATTTTTATTTTTGGTTTGTTTGACAATCGGCGTTTGGTGGTTAGCTGACTAGCTGTTGGCGTGTTTGTTTGGCTGAAAGTATTAGTTACAGAGTATATTAATCGTTTTTTTTTTCATTTTTTTTTACGTGCAGTTGACCACGCCATATGACCGCTTGTAAAAAAATTAAGTAATCCCTATAATATTGACCCAATAACCTATGTAACATTGATCGAGTAATTCATTTAACACTAATTAGTATCTAGGGGTGTGCAAAAAAGGACCGAGGCCAGAAATCGGACCGGGACTAGACCGGACCGTTAGATTTCGGGTCGGTCTTTGATCCTCACATTTTCTTGATTTCGGGTTTTCGGTCCAGGTAACAATCGGATCAATATTCGAAAAATGTATTTTTCTTATTTTTTAAATGAAAATTTTATATTTTATGTTTAAATTTCTAAAAAATTTAGGTGTAAAACTTATAATTTATAAATTTTAGGTACAAAATAGAAAAGTACGCACACAAAAACAAGACGTTAAAAACTGATGTATATATAAAGATATTAAAATGTAAAGAAAAAAAAAGTCCATTTCAGTCCAAAATCGGACCAGAATAAACAGGTCTTGATCGGTACCAGGACCGGTTGATTACGGTCCGGTCCCGATCCTTAAAAACTGTCAATTTCAGGTTTTGGACCGGTGCATAGCCCTAGAAGTATCCTCATGTGATCAACCACATATAAGAATGTCTTCTTGTGTCTAAGACAGTGACGAATCTAAAAATTAAGATATAAATAGGGATTACAAAACTAAGATTCATTAAAAATAAATAAATAAATTTGAGGTGTAATCATTTTTGCTGACTAAAATTTGAGTTATTAATTCATTTCATTGTTGTGTCTTTATCTATCTTTTAGCAACGAGTTCCATAAGTTAGTAACGGGATATATACCCTCAATTCCACATGGTACCATGTCCGAAACAAACTTATTTCCGACCGTGTCTACCTCAAATTCTCAAGATGATAACGAAAGAGTTGTAAGAGAGTGGAATGCACGAAGTTTCAGCGAAGGTGGAATCAAGTTGGGTGGCTGGTTCGATTGGTGATAAACATTATGACAGTCGTAAGAGTCGTAACATAACAATTGGTATTGCAATAAGAAACCGGTTGAAGAGGAAGAGGTACATACAGAGTTGTGTACTTGTGTTGTGGGGTTGCTAGTCAAATTTTAAAGAGAGAAAAAAAAAATATTGAAAAATGGTGAGTCATTCATGTGGTGGGGTTGGAAACTTGGAATGGTCGAAAGAAGTTGTCAAAGGAAAGAATGAATAGGAGAAGTTTATTACCAGTAAAAATTAGAAGTCGTAATTGCCCAATTGACTTGTCATAGACAATGAAATCCGTGAAACCTACTTCTCCTTGTATACTTGCAAGTAACCAAGTTGCAACTTTTTTTAGGCTATGTTCTTTTGATGAGTTTCAGAGCAGGCAGAGCAGGTATCAACAGCTTAGAAGAACTATATTTTATACTTTCAAAGACTCTCAGTTATACAGGTTAACATTCATGAGTAAAAGACGCAGATAAATGTTAAATTTTTGAAACAATATGAAATGGGTCTGGGCAACCCGAACAAGGAGGAGGAGAGTTTGGTCCACAAATAAGGTCAAGGGGCTTCCATACCAAAACCAATTGGCAATAGTAGGAGTAAGAGTTTGTTCTCATTGACTGAACTAAACTGAACTGAACTGAGCTGAGCTGAGCTGAACTGAAATGAATATTTTATAAGAGAAGGAAATTAGGAGCTGAACTAAACTGAACTTCAACGTAAGAGGACAGAACCTAACTCCTCTACCTTATAAAATGGAACTACCTCTCTTCTTTCTCCAATGTGTGACACTCACAAGTGGGGTACAATGGCCTTCAACACTCCAATTCACTTGTGATTGTCCTTAGAACTTAAGGCTCACCAGAAGGTACAATATAATCCTCATTGGGAATGAACATCTAATAGAGCCCCCTTAACCAGTGGCTTGACAAATACCCGGTTTTTGAGCGACCCAACAAATCTAGGCTCTGATACCATGTTAATTTTGTGAAACAATATGAAATGGGCTGAACAACCCAAACAAAGAGAATGAGAGTTTGGTCCACAAACAAGGTCAAGGAGCTTCCATACCAAAAACAATTGATAATAGTAGGAGTAACTCCTCTACCTTATAAAATGGAACCACCTCTCCTCTTTCTCCAATGTGGGACACTCATAAGTGGGGTACAATGGGTTTCAACAATAAGAATATCCCCTAATACCTACTCCATTTGTTCTTATTTTATTGCCCCATCGCAAAATTTTAGGTTAAATCTTATAATCTTTAACCATAAATATCAATTAATTTACACGAGAAAATATACTCAAGTATGGTTTTGTTAGATTCGTTTCATTGTATTTTTTATTAATATGAATTTTTTTATAATAAAAAAGGGACAAAGGAAGTAGCAAATACAGATGGTGGTGTTCTCCACCAAATCATGCTTGGTTATACAATTTGAGCATGTATTGAAAATTTATCATCTATTAGTAAGTGCACAAAACTCTAGCTAATAATCAACTACTTGTAGATGTTAAGTGTAGAAAACAAAAAAAAAAAAAAAAACAAAAAAAAAAAAAAACAAAAAAAAAACAAAAAAAAAACAAAAAAAAAGGAAAACTATCATACTTGTAAGGTTTCTCTTATGTACTCCGTCAATTAAATTAATTTTTAAAAAAATTAGCCCCGCATATCTCTCCTCCTTTCTCTCTCCAAATCCCTAGCCTCCATTGTTGAATGTTGGAGGGGCTTCCATCGATTTTAATCGGTGGAAAGCCCAATCCTTGTTTCTTTATTGTTTTTTTAGGTTTATAATAATGCTTCCTCCTTTTGAGAGGAACTTTTCTCTCTCAAAAGAAAGGGTTTCCGATCTCCTTCGAAAGACAAAGGTTTTTCGACCTCCTTCGAAAGACAAGGTTTGTGTCCTATTATCGAGGGAGAAATTTCTTAGTTTTGAATCCATGGTAGCAGATCTAATGGATTGTTGTGAAATTATTTCGTTGGTGAAAAAGTTATCAAGTTTTCGAATACGAACAGATGAATCAGAAGGAAAACATCCTCACGGCTACAAAGGATCGTTAGATTGTCTTTCCAACAAGCTGTATTTTTCAGCGATATAAGCGGGAGATGCTCCGCATTGCAAGATCTACTCGACGATCGTAGTTTTTAATGAAGGAATATTCTATTTGATTCAATATCTTATGTGCTTGTTAACGTCGAATCTCTATTGAAGATGTCGTATGACTTTTAATTAATGAAATATTTTTGCTATTCAAAAAAAAAAATTTAATTTTAAAAAAAACTTATTTAATAACAAGAATAACATAGATAGATAAAATACAAGGATAACATACTTTATATTTATTTTCTTCTTATTTCGCATATATAGTAAAATTGGACATGAAATATAATGAAAGATTCAATTATATATATTGGGCAGCAGGGCAGGAATAATAACCTTCATTTAATGATGTTTTTTTTTAATATATGATAATATGAAACCATTGGAGAACTAATTCTAAAAAGAATGAAGTTTTTATTAATTAAATTGTCTTACTCTGTACATGTTACATGCAGATTTAGATTGAAGGGTTAAATGTTCAGCTACATTATTTTTTTTTTTGAGGCAAATGTTCAGCTGTATTATTTATACTTCTTTCATTTTCTTATGTTCTTCTAAAAAAACATTAAAAAAAAAAACTGAAATTTCCATTTAAAAGAAATTCTAGTTAAGATATTGAGAAGTTAAAAAATTTCTCCAAAATAGAAATTATGTATTGTGCATTTAATACACTTCACATATATCATGCGATGGTAGAAAAATAACATACGTAACACACTAACACATATTCACAATAGCTGAAAACTTCTAAGAAATTTAATAACGCTATTTTTGTCCATAAATTCTATTTGTAGGAATAAACCTAATAAGAAGAAATATTTTAAAATTTCACAATACAAAATACCAAAAAAAAAAACGAAATAAACAAATGAAATAATAATAATAATAATAATAATAATAATAATAATAATAATAATAAAAATGGGAATGGCCTTACTAGAAGTTCTTTAATCAAGCATCTTCATGATCGCCATTGTTGTATTGGTGCGCAAGATATCACACAACATTCTTTTGCTTCTAATTTGACCGTATATACTGCTGTAGAAGTTACCTTTTTCCGTATGGGGATTTGGTTATGTGGGGTTTGTTACAAAACTCATATGGTTCATTCTAAGTGTTGTCATAGTGCAGCTGAGGATGTGTCACCCCTGATGATGGAGATGGTATTGTTCATTTTGTGCTTTATAATTTCTCCAAGCCAAACGCTCCATCTTCTCCGGCTCATATTGGACATGTGGATGGTTTGGTTCGAGATCAGTTCCGTAGTTTTGATGTGGCTCTCCTTAATTATTTGTTCTCAAAGGGGTTTCGCACTGTGAAGTCTATCCCTCCTAAATGTCATTTAATTTGGGGTTTTCTCGGGTTCTGAAAGGTGCTCTTGATAAGGTAATATCTAAGCCTAATGATATTTCTAGTTGGGTTTCGTTATTGGTGTTACCTCTATCACTAGTAGAAAAAAAGTTATGGGAAGCGGTTCAAACCCCCTAATGGGAAGCGGTTCTGAACTGCATGG